GACATGGTTTGTGGTGCCCCAAAACAATTCCAACAGTAATATCAAAGATCACTGATCACAGATCACCATAACAAATATAGTAATGATGAAAAAGTTTGATGTATTTCATTACCAAAATTGTGACACCACAATTACCAAATGTGACACAGAGACACAAAGTGAGCAAATGCTGTTGGAAAAATGGTGCCGATAGACGCGCTCGATGCAGGGTTGCCACAAAACTTCAATTTGTAAGAAATGCAATATGTGTGAATTGCAATAAAACCAAGTGCAGTAAAAAAGGTATGCCTGTAAATGGATTACACTCACATATACAGATAGATATGCTATGGAAATATCCATCCATTCATTTTCACTGAGTCTTTTTTTTTACTCGCAGAGACAATACCTCAATACAAATATATATATTTGTATAAATCAGAGAGAGAGGGGGGCAAATATGGCAAAATATTAACAATTGGTGAATCTCAGTGAAGAATAGATGACAGTTCATTGTATTATTCATGCAACTTGCAACTTTTGCGTTTAAAATTTTTTCAAAAGAAAATGTAAAAAAAAAGCTAAAACTAAAACCTCAGATGATAACAATGTGGGAGAACTCATGTTCAATGGGTAGTTAACTTGCTATGATCCTTGTAGTGTTTACGAGGAATACAGAAATACTGAATAATTTCATGTTGTTTTAAAATTTTATAGTTAATAATATACATCTAAAATTTAAGGATAACCACAAAGAATAAAAATGCAAGCTTTGGTGAGAAGTGAAAAAGTACAGAAAACCAAAAAAGCCCAATTTAAAAGAGTAGAAATTAGTCCAAATGTGCCAGTAATCACAACAAATATAAACATAAATGAATTAAACACACCTGTTTAAAGACAGGTGGATTTAAAAATACGATCCAAGCACATACCGAATATGTTGCTCTTACAGGCTACACATAAATTAAAACTATATCAAAAAAAGGAAATTAAAGAAATCTAGAATGGCCTTTCATATAAATACTTACTTTTTTAAAAGCTAGTATGACAGAACTAATATCACACAAAACAGAATTTAAGGCAAAAAACATTTCTAGAAACAAAAAGTGACATCATATGGATAAATTTTCTTCCTGAGAGAGTCTATCATTTTCCATTTCCAGCAGCAAAGCATGTGTATGATTCCCAACAAGCATTCCAGTGTAAGGCAGTATCAATATCTCGTGTATGTTTGCCAATTTGATAAGCAAAAAGAACAAGGACTCTTTTTGTAGTTTAATTTCAAAGCCTACATTGTCTCAAACACAGCAGGAACCACCCAACAGAACTCCTGTTTTGTGAACAGGGGTGAGCCCCTCTCGCCCAGGGAAGCAGAAACTGCCCATCCTCTGAGGGTCTATGCGGACGCTCGGTCACAGACAGGGGGCAGCATCCGGGTGAGGAGGACCCGCCCCCTGGCGCTGAGCGGGCGGGAAGTCCAACTCCACCCGGGTTGTCTGTCCAGCAACCCCAGCCTCCCTGGTCTCTGTGTTAATTCCCAGCAGCTTACTTAATTTATATACAGCACAGTATCTACTTTCTATAAAATGGCCAGCAAAGCTGTTCGGTGCCCCCAGGCAGCAAACAATAAGGACCAATTGCCCTTCCGTTTCACACAAAGCTTTCCTTAAAAACTCTTGACTAGAATTAAGTGCAGTTAGCAATTTCTAGAGAAATCTCTGAGATATTTTCCCTGAAAACAAAGAAAGAATAAAAAGAAAATGTTTTCTATAAAATTTAGTAAAAGCTAACTGAAAGTGTTAATAAAAATTCTTTGAATTTGCAATGGAATGACTAATTCCTGCCAGGCACTCTGCTGGAGGCTTTCACACTATGTTCTCGGATCCAATTCTCAAAAATAATCCATTTAGGTAGAATCACTGTCCCCACATTTTTTTTTGTTTTTTGCTGAGAAGATTGGCCCTGAGCTAACATCTGTGCCAGTCTTCCTCTATTTTGTATGTGGGTCGCTGCCACAGCATGGTGTAGGTCCGCACCCAGAACCAAACCCCTCCCCCAAAAGTGGAAGGCGCCGAACTTAACACTAGGACGTGGGGACAGCCATCTCATTGTCCCCATTTTACTGACAATCAAACTGAGTGCCAGAGAGGTTAAATAGCTTGCCCCATACCAAAAACTGATAAGAAGACCCATGTCTCAAACCTAGATTAATGAGCTTATAGAGGTAAACACTAACGCAGTCCTGTTATTCATATTATCATCAGCATGGTTAAGACTGAAAATAATAATTTCTCATTAACCAGCCTGGATCACTTAAGATACTCTGTGTAATCAAGACTTTAGAAAAAAAGCATACATTATGATTAATATGAGCAGAAATTTCAGACTCGATATTTCTAGTCACATTCTGGAAAAATTCTTATGCGTAGTTACAGCAATAAGCACTTCAGCACAGATAGGACAGTTAATCATTTCAAATAATGCTGGATCCAGGTGCTATCATCCCCCGGCAGCCTGGGCTTCTGGATCACACACTTTTGTTGATGCAGCTGCTCTGGTTGGATGCTTTAGAAGGATTTTTTGATTTACAGTTTGAAGTTAAAATTACCAAAGAGTTTTAAAGGCATTACGAAAGCCATATGTATCTTTCTGTCACCATGTCAGAATACTGCCTTTCACTTTTGCCTACATTTTTGCCTGAGTGGTTGGAATCTAGGTACGAATAAAGAGAAGAAGAAAAATAACAGCTTAACATGGAAAACATCACAAAACTGTATGAGATATTTTAAAGTCATGAAGGGAAAACGAAACAACTACAACTCCTTTGGTTTCTATAGTTGCTTTCAGAAAAAATGAGTGAAGAAGACCAGGCACAAAAGCACTGACAGTTTTTAGTATATAGTTTTTTTCTATTTGCTTTCCCCGCCAGAGCCATATCCTATTTACCCGTGTCTGTACACATGCAGAAAATGAAAATAGATCTTGCTTGATACAGGCCAGAAACGAGGTTTCCTTTTATCTGGCACCCCATAGCTCCTAAAAGCATGTTCCTAAAGGAAGCAATCACTCACTGACGGGTTTAGTTTTTGTTTTAAAGCATTTATAAAAAAAACCTCTATGAAAGAATATCAGTATCTCTTAAATTTTTCCACAAGGGATTTTTTTAAAGGGGCAAATACATACCTGGCTCTTCTGACCCAGATCACTTTCATTATTAATGGGTTTTTTCCTAATTTTTTTTATTGTGGTAAAATACACATAACACAAAATTACCAGGTTAACCATTTTAAAGTGTGATTATTAGTCTTTTCAATAAAAATAAGTAGCCTTAGGAATATAAGAAATCCTTTAAAACATTTATACTTTTTCGGTATCCCTGTCAATATTTCTGCAGTCTCAGGAGCAGTGCTGTAAGAGGCTTCAGGCTTCATCCTCAGCATAAAGGTTTGCCCACTGCAGCTCCCATGGAGTTAAACAAGCACAATTCAGGTGCATACCTGGTTATCTGAAAATGCATTTTCCATATGAAGTGTGGCTTAGATAAATTATTTCCACAGATCATTTTCTAAAGTCTTATTATATCCTCACATTTACCAAATCTTTTGCTAAAATATTATAGAAAAAGCAAAATAGCTTTGAGTTTCACCTCTTTTCTCTACTCAATCTTTTCTTTGAAAAGTGGGGGTGGAGAGGGCCAGGATGTAAAGAGCATTAAGGAGAAGCCATAAGACTCCTAAATGAATACAAGAATCAGCAGCTACTTCTTTGAATAATCTAGAGTTGACATATTAGACAATCAAGTCTGTAATTTTCAGTTGTAAAAAAACAGGTCTATGAAGCTAACGAGTGGCAAAAGCAAAATAAAGTTCTGAAAAATGCTCCCACTTCTTCAGATTCTGTTCAGAGATTTTACCCAAAAAATCCCATACATGTTTCATTAAGGCTCCTATTAAATGCTAGTTACTCTCAATGGCAAAGCAAAATATAAATCAATAGTTAACCACATGTTAAAAGAGAAGCATTCTTTGAAGCTGGTCTTGAAGAAACTCCTGCTGTCCAATTAAAGGTTTTGTTTTTTTTTTAAAAAAAAAAAGAAGAAGAAGAGGAGGAGGGAAGAGGGAGGAGGAAGAGGAAGTAGGAGAGGAAGAGGAAGAAGAAGAATGCAGAGGAAAAGCCATTTTATTAAAGATCAAGCAGCCAACAATTGAGTTCCATGTACACTGTTTCTCAGAAACACCCATTCTGGCGTATGCTAAATTACATGCCATCTCTGGCTGGATATGATCGGCCAAGATAGGCCAAGCCCAAGAAGGATTGGAGATCAAATGCAAGCCAACTATACTTAGGAGACTTTCTCTAGTATCTGTCTACAGAATGCAGTTATCTCAGGTCTACACTAAAAATTGCTTTCAAGGAACACAGTTCAAAGATTGAGTTTCTTTTTTGCTATCCATTCACCATAAAATATTTGTAGAGATGTGACATCCTTTGACATCATTATATCAGTTGCGACACACATAATGTCCATTCAATTTGACGAAGTACATTTTAATCAAAGCTACACATATTTTCTGACCTTTAAGAGCCTGGAGGCTCAAAATAGTTGTTACAACAGTGAGAAATACGATACACAAGCAATCTCTTATCAAAGATAAACATGGCTCCGATTACTTTTTGTATTTGAGGCCGACATAAGTAGTTTGCTCTGTCTGGACATTTTAAATCGATTGCCAGATGGAAATAGTACTCTTGAGTCTATGCCAGAAGTAGGTTTCTTAGTCTCCTTGCCCAGTCTTGGCCAAAACCTTAGCACTACTCAACAGCAACTAAAATCTTCAAATCAATTTAAATAGCTCTATCCTTGCCAAAATTTTATGTCTACAGAGCTGACTCTATAAATAATGATGGGTGATCCAGGTTAAAACTGGATCTTCAACTATCCAACTCTTAGTTTGCATTAAAAAAACTGTTTATGAGTTTGTTCACTTCATTTAATTATGAAATCAAGTGAAAAATCTCACCTTGTGATGCCCAAATTCATTCAAAATGGATCTCAGTTTTCTGGTGTTGCTATGCAGTTTTTGGGCAGCAACAGCTGGATGGGGGTCCCGCCAGTCGATGGACAAGCGGTGAAACCAAAGGCGCTGACTCTCCAGAACATGAGCTGACTTAATGCTAGGATCAAAACGATGTACTTCACATCCATTGTTGGCCATGCGAACCTCAAAATGGGTATCATCACTTCCCAGCCTGTAAAGAAAGAGGATGGAAATCAACAACAAAAATATAGAATGAAGCACAAAGTGTTGGATTGACAAAAAGTGACAGTTCCAAAGCCAATTTTCTTATTCATATCAAGCCTGCTCCTGTTTTAACACTTGGCTAACTGTACACATGCAATAAACCTTCTTTCACAGAAAGAATTATAGCTAAAAGCTTCTGGATTAAAAAAAGTAGAGAAATTATCTGCTAAATGCAGACCAGGGAATCATATGCTCAAACATGTAGAAGCATATCAAAATCATTTTTTAAAAAGATATAAACCACAGTAGCAATGAAACAAAGATGATCCAGTAGTCTTAAGAGGTTTTCTCAGAATGTGTCAAAAATATAAGCCCCAGCATCAGTTCCCTTTGGGAGAGGTGCATTCTCCTAATAGACAACTTGTCTGTATTCTAATGGCCATGACGCTGTGCATGCAGTTTGACTTAAAGACAATAGCTATCTCCTTAGAAATGGAATGTATCTTAAAGTAGTACAGTTAAAGAAAAAAGGCAAATGTATGTGGCTCTACTGGATCTAGTACTCAAGAAGCAGAAGAGGTACTTCACCTAAATTCACATCGACAGGAGCAAGGAATTATGAATTAATTATACTTTAGCAACCAGTAGGTAGCATATCATATGGAACATTTTTAATTTACTCAGAAATATTCCTTATTTAGTGGTGTAAGATTCATCACTTTGATTAAAGCATCAATTTGAATGAAAAACATGCAATTAACCAAGAGGATGATTTTTTTAAACGGTGGTTATAGGTTCTCTGCCCAAAATACTATAATTAGATGAGATTTAAATACCAAAACCTCACAGAGTATCTATAATACATTGGCCAAACCTGAACTCAGTGCAGAAATGCTTCATTCTCTTAAACTCTACTATTCCAGACTATTTCATAATTTGGAAATATACAAGCTCATTGGGTAACAATTATTCATCTGGTTTTAGTTAACTAAAATATATCTTTAGTATGGATATCCTCCATCTAGACATTCTTTTTCTTTTTTTTTTTTTTTGTGAGGGAGATCAGCCCTGAGCTAACATCCGTGCTAATCCTCCTCTTTTTGCTGAGGAAGACTGGCTCTGAGCTAACATCTTTTGCCAATCCTCCTCCTTTTTTTCTTCCCCAAAGCCGCAGTAGATAGTTGTATGTAGTAGTTGCACATCCTTCTAGTTGCTGTATGTGGGACGCGGCCTCAGCGTGGCTGGAGAAGCGGTGCGTCAGTGCGTGCCTGGGATCCAAACCTGGGCCGCCAGTAGCGGAGCGTGCACACCTAACCGCTAAGCCACTGGGCCGGCCCTTGACATTCTTAATACTCTTATTTGCCTTGTTCTTTCCCTTCACTCCCACGACACTGCTTTTTTCCTCACTGGACCCACGGCATGTCAACTCTCTGCTGTCCCTCAGCTATAATTCTGTACACCCTTTTGGCAAGAAAAAGATTCAGCACTCTTTTCACAAACGTTCCCGTTCCTTCTGCCCAAGAAAACTTGTTTCCTATTTTCTGCCTACTATTGAACCCACATGCTCAGACCATTGTAATCTCTATTCTAGTTTTCCCCCAAATTTTCCACCACCTGGTGTGGCTGATTGACTTGCTGGCCCTAATTCTTCACCCCTGCATCCACTCTACTGCCATGCTCATCACGGGTGGAGTATCCTTTCCTGCCCCTTGACATTTTGGCATGGCTATGTGACTTCCTCTTTGGAAGGAAGTGACAGTATGCCTGTCCTGATCCTAGGCTTTAAGTGCTTCTGTTCACTCTCTTCTACCATCATCATGATAAAAGTGGACCCTGGATAGCTTGCTGGTCTTAGGAAAAAAGAGACATGAGGAACAGAGGTGGCCCAGCCAATCCACCGGCTTTCTATGAAAAACAGAGCTGCCCTTAGCCATCTGAGCCTGAAGTAAAGTCTCCCAGCTGAGCTCAGCCTGGATCAACTGAAGCCCAGGTAATCTGTAGACATATGAACAATAATAAATTATGGTTTTAAGCTACTGAGTTTTAGAGTGATTTGTTACACAGCAATAGCTAACCGATAAACTTGGCATTAAACATAAATCCAAGAGCTGCAGTAAAAACTACAAAGCATTTTTTAGTAGACAGATTTGTTTCTGTATAGATCAGAAGGTTGTAGAATTCACCTGCCCCAAGGGATTTTTCACTTAACTAAATTTATTGAAACTCGGATGAGCAAACCGATGTTATCATGGGTCATCCAATGGAGAATGGCAGTTTTGTAGCTGTACTAAGAGCACTCTATGTCAAAAAAGTACTCACTAAATATAATTTGTATATAAACTTTCTAGGTAAAGAAATGTAAATAAATTCTTTCTCTGTGAATTTTCAGAATACTGTTTTCAAAAAAACATTCTCTACTCTAAGACATAAGTATTTTAATCAAGATCTCAAAAAAATTTAAGAGTTAAATTAACCAGTTCTGTAATGAATTTTTTAGTAATGCACTTTATTATATATTGATACGTTTTCAACTTAAACCAGTTTCTTATAATTAAAAAATAACAAATACATATAGAAAAAGTTCAAATTGTAAGATGTATATAAAATGAATAGTAAAGGTTTTCTTCCACTAGAAATTTAAGCTACTAATTTCCAAAGATAATCACAGTTAGCAGGTTTTTGTGTATCCGTCCAGAAAATTTCTACACGTGTACAAGTGTTCTGAAATATCATAAGCATGCACATAAATATATAAGTTAATCATTAAATAGTGAAGAACTATTTTGTATGATATACTAAATAACATGAAACTACTGAAATTTATAGGTTTTTTGGTTAACTTATGTTACTTTTTCAAATACAATCCACTTAATCTTAATACACAATACATACTATATTGGAAAGTAATAAACTGTATTCATTTAATCAGTGTCTATAATTCTTACTTTCATTTATTCAGAACGGTACTTGTTCAAGCTTAGTTTAAATCAGTCAAGTTTGTGGTAGGTTTGAAAAGCAAGAGGGAGAGCACGTGTCATGTACACAGGGGTTGCAAACTTGGCCCAAAGTGGTAAAGCCAGGAGTCAAATCCAATCCATGTAGTTCCAAAGCACGTGCTCTTCACACTCTAGCTCACCACAAATGATCACAGGACACAGGATCATGGAACGAACATTTGTGATCCGGAGGATCTAGGAAATTGTCAGTTACTACTCAGTAAAGCTCCATGAAGAAAAGGGCTGTGTTGATCTTGCTTATTTCTGAATCCCTAGTACTGGGTATATAGATGAACGATGACAGACAAATCTACGAAATGCTGCCCTTAGTGAAAGAAAACTATTAGGTAGGGTCTGGAATTCCCAGAATATACATCCAACAAGGCACGGATGGGCTACATTTCACTGACTTGTTCATGTATATAACAGATATCTATAGAGCACTTTGTGCAAGGCCCTACACTAGACACCAGAGGCAAATAGGTAAATTAAACATGATCCTTGACATGAAGAAGCTCACGAGTAGTAATGAAGAAAGACTTGAACAAATAACTATAGTAAAATAACTAAATAACCAAAATAAACTATTACTTATAGCAAAAATGTATTTAGTCTATAATGAAACCATTTTTTGCTCTTATTTAACTGGAAAAAGAATTCACTGTGGAAAATCTAAGATAGTTGCTCCATTCCCTGCCATCACATCTGCATTCCAGCCATCAGGGAAAGTAAAAGGAGAAGTGAAAGTCATATCCTCTCCTCTTAGGGGCATGGCCTAGAAGCTGCACACATCACTTGCCTTCATATCTCATTGCTCAAAGCTAGTCATGTGGCCGCTTGTAGCTGCAAGGAAGGCTAGGGTATGCAGTCTTCAGCAAGGTGACCATGTGCCCTGCTCAACTCAAGAGTCTGTCACCCAAGAAAGAAGGGGAGAATGTATATTGGGGGGCAACTAGCAGTTCCAGTTGTAACCCATTTCTGAAATAGGTAAGCAGTAAATATGTATAGTCAAAGGTATAAGCCTCCATGAAGACTGTAACGGATCCCTCTATATGGGAGAAAGAGAAAATTATGTAACTCATGATTATGAATATTATTCTGCATATGTTAATGCAGAGGTTTGAGATCACAACAAACTCTTTGGCAAAGAAGGGCCACAAATCTGCAAGACTTATTGAAGAAATAGGAAGAGGGAGAATTACAGGGCTAAATTTCGAAAGGTAATAGAATAACAGAGTAACCATCTTGGCCCTCTGTTGTCTCAGAGAGCAACAACCGGGATCCCTAGGTGTGGTTGTGTGGTTTGTGGACTAAATAACTCTAAAGGGCACCACTCACACCATAGTCACCATAACGATGATTTTCTGGCAGATGGCAGTAACAGTTCTTGAGGGAAGGGGTCTTTCCCAAGTTATATAAAGGTATCCTTTGGACTAGCTAGAGTGCTAACAATTGCATGCCCTTTAGTGCTACTGAAGGGTAGAAGGGATGAGTGTGGCACTGTTTCAGGTCCTTGGTTATTCTTTTAAAAATATTCCTGAGAGTATTAGGTGAGTATCCTTTATGTTCCCCAGGAATCAAAAACTCAGAGCATAAACATATGAAAAAATTCTCAAGATCGTTAGCCAACAGGGAGAAGCAAATCAAAACTATAATGAGATACCACTTCACATCTAGGAAGTTGGCTACAATCAAAAAGACCAATAATAAGTATTGACGACAATGTGGAGAAATTGGAACTCTCATATATTGCTGGTGGGAATGTAAAATGATATATACTCAAGAGAAATGAAAATTTATGTCCACAAAAAATTTGTACATGAATTCTCATAGCAACATTATCCATAACAGCCAAAAGTGGAAACAACTCAAATGTCCATCAAGTGATGAGTGGATAAATAAAATGTGGTATATTCATACAATGGAATATTATTTGGCAATAAAAAGCAATGAAGTACTGATACATGTTACAACATGTATGAACCTTGAAAACATTATATTAAATGAAAAAAGCTAGTCACAAAAGGCCACATATTGTATGCTTCCATTTATGTGAAATGTCCAAGTAGATGAATCTATTGAGATAGAAAGTAGATTTGTGGTTGCCTAGGACTAGGGGGTGATGAGGGAGAAGTGTTGGAGGGAAATTGGGATTGATGGCTACTGGGTACAGGGCTTCTTTTTTGGGGTGATGAAAATGTTCTAAAATTGACTGTAGTGACCAAAAACTATTGAACTATACACTTTAAATGGGTGAACTGTGTAGTATATGAATTATATATCAACAAACTTGAGTTTACTGTTAGTTGTTAAAAAAAACTAAAAAACTAAAATAAAATCAGAGCAGATACAAGGAAAGTTTTTAACCCTCACCATTGAAGGCAGAAGGTTGGAAGAAGTAAGGCAATTAGTGTTTTCACCAGGAGTTTCAGTAGTCAAGTCTTCATCCCAGCAGGAACCAGAGAATTTGGCCAAATGATTATCTATTATGATATCTAATAGATAATTAGCTTATTTGTTAAATTAATAATTTGATTAAATTATTATGATTTATGATTATTGCGATTAAAATTATTACAAATGACACTGAATAGTGGATAAAAATATTTCATAATTATTAATTTTTATTAAGTAACATTGCATGAAATGCCTATATATCATCTAAAACATATATTCTCAATAGGGATAATATCACCCCTAAGGGGCAAAAATCGATTCTTGGGGACAAAAACACCTTCCTGTTTTTACATATGATGCACAGATACATACATTACATAAATAGATATACAGTGTATCTATGGTATTAAAATTTAATGGGGGGAGCGATTGGAAAAAATTGTCTAAAAAGGGTCCTTGGGTCCATGATTTTTTGATCCTCATTCATAATACTATGAGCTCCTGCTCTGTTCATTAAACTATTATAAGATGAAAATTTTTGACTCTGGAACTCATTCATACCTCTTGAAATGCTACAGCAACCGGAAGTCCCAGATTTTCTGTATAAGATGTTGACTCTTGTTGCCTAACCATGTGTCATCTATCAAATTTTCTTCACTCTTACGCTGAGAATTTATGTCTTGAAACCAAATGGTGCAACCTACCAGAGAACTAAACAAGAGATGGAAAATATTTACCTATGTATTCTCCCTTCTCAAGTTTTCTCTTCCACTCTCACTCCTACCCCTGAAATACAATCTTCGACAGGAAAGATAAAATAGGCAATTTTTCCCAATTCACTTTAGCTACCACCATCTCCCCACCATCACCCCACTATCACCCCACCATTTCCCCACCATCACCCCACCGTCTCCCCACCATCACCCTACCGTCACGCTTCCACTATACAAGAAGATTCCAGGGCAGGCCTCATCTGAAGTTGTGAGGTAGATGATATTATCATCTGAACTCACAGCCTCTCCTTTCTCTTCTCTTTCCCCTTCTCCATAACATAACCTTCCTTTCAGTGCCTTCTCCATCTTAATTGCTCTATTCTACCCCATTTCAAAACTGAAAAGGATCCGATTTTAATTTTCATCTGAACTTCTCCTACAAAAATATCTTTTACATTAACTGTGGAATAAAAAGCTTTGATTCCTAGTTAAGAAGTTTCAGACATCAGAGAAGGAGGAGGTGATACCTGCTTCAGTTCTTGTAGGTGGAGGGAAGGTAGGAAACAGATCAGAAGGAAGGGCATTCAGCCTTGGTCTTCTGATCCTTATGTCCTCAGATCCCTTCCTTCCTCTCCCTCCAGGATGGTTACCCCCAGTTGCAGCTTTTTCCATCATCCTGGGTTTGCTTGGGAATGACTGGGCACAGCAGTGGCATGGTCTTGTTGCTGCCACAGCCCTGGGGCTTGGAGCACATACTGCCTGGGTGTGGGGGCCCCATGACCCACCTGCCACCTGCCCTCCTCGCCTATCTCACCACTATCCCAACACTCGCAAACGCTGGGAATCCAGGGCCCACATTCCCTGTTTTCGTGCCTCATTTCAGGACCACTACTTCTGGCCTTGGTCTCTTTCTTCCCTTAGCATCAATTGAAATGTTGTCAGCCAGCTAAATTTACCTGCCCCCCAGGCAAGCAAGTCACCTGAGAAGGAAGGATGCTTGTCGGATCCTCAATCCTCAGTAACAGAGCAATCAACATGTACATCCACAATCCAAAGCATCCTTTTCTTAGCCATAAGAAATATTTTCTTTAGTTTCCAGTTTTCAATTAAGCATTTTCATGTTTTTAATCAAATGTTGGCCCTTATAATATATTCATTTCTGTTCCCAGTGGAGTTCAACTGTTCTTATCTGCTCTTTACAAAGCTGATTTTGAATAGTGTGAACATTTAATGAAAATGAGAAACTACCTTTTTACATGTAATAATCTGAAATCTTACAGCAGAACTATCTTATTTAATGGCTCAGAAGTATAAGGAAAGCAAAAAAGAATTTTAAAAATTTCCCCAAATTCAGCTTTCCCAATTTCATTTTACTCACTTATATGCTTTAAATGAAATTATTCCAGGGTGTAAAATATTACAGAAAATATAAAGACAGTTCAGAGCAAGAAAATAGGACCAAGCTGAGATCTCCAATTTGCATGTGGTACTATGCAATTATTTTTATGACCTACTTTCATGCATTTTTAATATAATATAAAACGAACTCCACTGTCACAACTTCCCATTCTTCCTACAATCTTGAAGCATAGCTGGTAGGCTCCCAGAGAGCTCTGTTCTAATCAACTGGCTGAGCAACTAATTTCCTAATCCTCAGCCTCCTAGTTTAAATCATAGCCTAACCAGCTTCCCTCCCTAGTCTCCTTACCATGAGCAATCACTTACATAGCAAATATATATTGAGTGCCTACTGTATACCAAGCTCCACTGATAGATACCATCACTCTTCATTGAACCCATAGAAGACTGTTTCCATTATCCTGAAACACTTATTTTAACCTTTTGTTTTCACAAAAAATCCACGATGACTATAACTAAGAATTCTTGTTTGGTAAAGTTTGACCGTGTTGAGTAGGCTTCCACATCACCCAAATGTTTGCCCCTAACCTGTACCATCTAGGATTCTGGCTGGCAGTTGTCACTCATGGGCCTGAGTGTAAATTGTAGAGGTGATGAAACCTACTGGTGAGGAACAAGCATATGACACTTGTTAGGGTCTCCAGTACTTTTGTAAAGGACTTCAGGGATCTTGCCTGAGAATCTAACCACACAACTTCTACAAAGAATCTATAGAACAGGGTGTTCCAAACAAAAATAACTCTCTCCTGCCTTTTTTGAGGCATTTGTTAGGTCAGGACTGTTTATATGAGTACTGGTGTATTGGGTGAAATAGTCTCACTACTTTATATTCACCCTTTTACAAAAAGATCTCTAAATCCATTTGTACATTTAGGTCATTTTCAGCCTGAATAACTGAATAGCAATATTTCCCACAGTTTTGATAAAATGACGTGGTTCTCATAAGAGTTCCCTTTTCTTTCTTTCTTTTTTTAATGTAAAAGTATACAGATTTACCATGGGCACAAAACATAAAAATCCAACAGTGCCATTTGTCTTGGGTCACTCATCATAACCGCATATAAAATTTCTAATATGCTCACTGTTTCTTTTCTGGGTGAATTCTTCATATTCTTCTCTGTCTTTATAATAAAGATGCTCTAATTCTAGTTGGAAATCACTGGCTTCACCAAGCACTAACCATCATGCTGCAAATTGAAGTTGCCAACTTACTACTAGCAGAATGGGAGAGAAAGCGGCCCTGGCTACTTTTGGTGATCTGCAAGTGCCCACAGTTACATAACAGACAGATGAGTTTGAAACGATGGCACACACTGCAACCATGCATAACTTTGTGTCGCTGAAAACGCCTTGGCCGCCTGCAAGAGTGTTTTTGTTTCTTCTGGCGTAAAATGTACTTACCCTAAAGAGTAGAGACAGCATTGCTTGTTGCGGATTTGATGAGCTAAGCCAAACCTGTCATCAAGACAGACTGACCAGGGCTTCTCTGCAGGGCTGGAGTTGGTAGCCAGGCTGTCGGTGCTCATGTGATCACATGCAATCTGCAAGGATTGGAAATCAATGTGAATAATTTAAAGCGTTGGATGATAAATGGCAGATAGGGACTTTCTGCTTCCCTGGTCCCTGGAAACCATAACGGGAGAGTTATGTCCTTCTCCACTGCTAACTACTCCCCTCCCCAGGGAAACACAAGAGTGCTGTAAAATGTTCGGAGGAATTCCAAATACCAGATTATAAAGCACCTCGTGGAGAGTATAGGCAGGTTGGAGGGAAAGTTAAGAGCTGCTATAGACACACGCACAGAGTATGCAGAGGAGAACAAGTCAGGAGCAACGATGGCGGGAGGAGGGGTCAGGAAAGGCTTGGCAGAAACGTCATAGTCTTGAAGGATGAACAGAAGTTGACCAAGAGGCTGAGACCAAGAAGGGCATTCCAGACATGGAGAACAGTACTGACAAAACAGAGGTCCGTTACCCACAACATTCCTACTAGAAGTTGGGAGATATGATTGTGGGCATAGATCTCAGAAGGATACAATATGATCTATTCCTTATCTCAGATAGGTAAGGTGGGGCCACCATGGTCCAGAAAGGTAGCATGTGTTATCCATGGTAAACAGCTGATCAGAGTCAAGTGAAATTAATTTGTAGTCCCTGCTAACAAGACAGTCCTCCTTGTGATAACACTGTTCTAATGAGCTTCCTCCCCAAGGGAGAAGGGCAAGAGCCCCAGGCAGGAAGGAGGCTCTCCCTGAGCTAATCAAAGCACTTCTAAGTCATCCATCAAAATTAGATAAGAAAACCAAAGGGAACACATATCTAAATCTAGCAGAAGCAAGTCTCTAATTTCAAATGCACATCAAGTAAACATACTTTGTAAGGACTTCTGACTTGTGTTTGAGGCCGGCATAAGGTGCACAGCTGAGGCTGTTGGAACCCAAGAACACAAGTTCAGTGGCCAAATTATTTACCTTACTGAGCACAGTATTTCCCCCTAATCCCTCAAAACTCTCATAGTCATCACGCTGCTCCATGAATCATGTAGCAGCTCTCGATGTCACGTCACAGAGAACAAACCACTCCAGATGCAAAGGGTGTTTTGAGGTTCGTTGCTTTGATTCATTGGAAAACGTAACAGTAAATAATTTTCTTCTTGAAATATTCTAGGCTTGCCCAATCCTTTTATTTAACTGATTTTCCAAAATTTTAATCCAAAAAGAGCATATCATGTGGAGCCTATTCAACGAATACAACATCCCCCTTACTCTTGCTATAATCTAGGGTGGGCCTGGCAAATCATCCTAGCACTATTTGTCGGTGACGATGAGAGAGTCTTCTGCTAGGATTTGGAATTCTAGAGGGAAGCTTAAAAAGTGAAACTCTATATATTTATTCTTTTCCCTCAACCCAGTATCATTCTACTTCTTTATCCATAACCACTGTTTAAAGGTAAAAAATAATTGTAATAATAAATGGAATTGAATCTTCTCTCAAGCAACTAGTACAGAATACATTTATTAACTGGGTGCATCAACATGTTAATTCATTTCCTACTATTATCCCACAGGTAAACAGAAATTATGCCTCTGCCTGCCCACCTCCTAGGCCCCACTCACCCACCAAGGGAGAAGTTGCTAATCTAATTAGTCAAAGCTCATTGTGTTCATTGGGCCTGTTTTACTAGTTGGCAAGTTACTGTGCCTTAAACATCCCCACCTTCATTGGCATTCTGTTCCATGGCCTGCCTCCTACAGTTAGTTAGTTAAGCCAGGGCAGTTCTATGGGCCTCTAAAGCAAGCCTGGACCTAGTAAGCCTGAGTCATACACTCTAGGGCAGCTTCCTGGAGTATCTTTATTCAAGCAGTATGATGATTCCAATTTGCTACTGTTCTTTGTGTGTACCTCTCCCTAAGAACCTCCATAATGACAGATGAGGATATGGACATTCACAGGTTCTTGTTGATAATTTCCTCCTAATGCCATTAAAACCTAACTCTTGCCTCTCCCACCGTGTTTCTCAAGGTGTGGTCCACCTACACTCTGATGGACCTGGGGGGCACTTAAAAAGATTTTTGAGTCCCACTCCATATCTGTAAAATCAGAATCTTTGAGGCTGATGCTTCGGAACATGCATTTTAATAAGCTCTCACCAGGTGATTCTTATGCAGGTGGTCCTGTGAGTTTCCTGGCAGCCTTTTGTAAAGCCCCACTGAAATGTCCCAGCCCGGCCTCACCTGTGCCTTAGCAAACTGAGAGAAGAGGCTACACTTGGGCCAGGGCTTTAAGCTGAAAACAGTAGCCCCTCCAACCACACCCTTAACAAAGAGCCAGAGAGGCAGGCAGAGCAATTAGCCAGAGGCCGCCCAGAGTCAGGGAAGTGTTTAGGGTCAAGATTCAGAGCTTGGAGGTTCAGCTGCTCCTTGACCAACATTGAGGAGTAGGGTTTTATTCTATTAAAGATGACACTTGAAGCATTTCTTCTTCTTCCACAGATTTCTTCTTGCACAGATCTATCCCTGTTGGAAAGACATTCTTTTCCATTCAATCTCTCTGCTCATGTTCCCCTTTCCTCTCCTAGCTCACAAATACAGCACCAGAGTTTTTCCATTTTAACCACTTATTAACCATCTCATTGATAGACATTAGCTTTTGAAAACAACTAGGACTACTTGGTAAAATTCAGCTCCTAAAAATTAATTAAACATTGATTTTTCAAACTTTCTTGTTAAGATTTATGGCCAGGGCTTCACTAAACTCTCTCGCAAGCAAAATAAGTGAGGGCAGTAACTCCTAGCTAAGCTCCAACTCCGGTAATGATGTTCTCTCTCTCTCTCTCTAATTCTCCTCGTAATTTTAGCCATATATAGTGAATTAGGCCTGGACGAAGGAAAACAGACTCCAAGAAAAAAATATTTTCTGAATTGATTTTGAGTTATTTAACTTAAAGGGATCTAATTTATTTTCATTTTATTTTGGATCCCAAAAGCTTGAATAGCATTTCTGCCAACCCATAAGTAGAACCTGGCAAAGGGAGCCCTTAAAATTTTGGGACTTTTGGCAAGAATCACTGCGGTGATCAACTCTATGTTTCTGTAATACCATTATTTTGAAAGGTACAATCTCAAGGAAAGAGTTGTATTTTTGTTTTGTATTTGTTGCTTTTGTCCCAATTTGTGTGTATGTGTGTGTGCAACAATAAATATAATAGATACTATTGTTATAAAGTTGTAAAGTCTGTATCTCCAGAGCTTGGGTTATTGTGTTGTTCTTAAAAATAGATAGATGGGCAGACAATCAGATAGATGATAGATAGATAGATAGATAGATAGATAGATAGATAGATAGAAGATAGATTTTAAAACACATTTTTTCTTTTTTAAAACAGCAACCGTTGCTTAGATTAATTTTATACTGCAGCACACGCTTCCTGGAGGCATATGGTTCGGGGGTTGCCATAAAAAGCTGGATCTGGAGCCTTCCCCGAGAACAGAGCACTGTGTTTATGATTTAACTGTTTCTTGTTAGCAGCAGACAGCGTATCATCGACTCCAGAACTCTGAGATGTAATCATGGTCTTTCACATTAGAAAACAATACCTAGTTAAACAGAGCTTGCTGTTCTGCACACTCTACCCAAACACCGTCTCCTCTGGTGTTTCATTAAAAAATGCAGGGCCCCAACCATGCCATCAGGGTCTCCACGGTGCACAAGTCCAGGGGTGCCATCTCCATTGCAGTCTAAAGCCACATTGTCCCATGCTCTGCGCTTCTGTTCCCGAGCTCCCTTGGCCTGGGGAAGCTTCCCCACCCATCTGTCCACCCTGTTAGAGAACACGTAACTCGCGTGCACCCTAGCTGTTTAGCAGTGTGTCTGAGTATTTAATTCAGGCTTGATATCCCAGTCAGTGCCCAGCACAGTGCCAGCCACAAAGCAGATGCTCTACAAATGCCTGCTGAATGAGGAATGAATAAATCAATGATGAGCATATCGAATACTGGGCCTCGCTGTACAAGCTTGAACACAAATTTCAGGGAAATACATTTTTTTTTTTTAATTTTAAAAAGCAGCATAATAGGATGGGGGTGGAATATGCTTCAGTAGCTTCAGAGGTTTTATTTTTTTTCCTTGCCCGTTATGACTCACTACTGCTAACTGTGAAAATTTTAGGTAATAGTGCCTTTAATATTCTGCCAGCTTCGTAGGCTTTCGTTGTCAAGTGAGTTCTAAATGAGGCATAAGCCCCCAAAGCAGCCAAAAAGCTCTGAGTTACATAGAAAGGGGGAGGGAGCACTGGTTAGTAAAAGATTCTGATTAATAACCAATTAGTGTCATCTCTGATAAGCTCCCGCCTGCTGGCCTCCTAGTCTCCCGGAAGTACATAAAAGCATAGGACTTTACCCAGGTAAAACGATCCCTGATGGTGAGGTCTGGAATTTTATCTCCTCATTTCTGGAGGACAGAAACTAGTGAGCTTTAACAACCAGATCTCTGTTATTGCACTCATCAAGCTGAATAATAATTCTATGTCCATTTCTCTGCCTTCTCAACTAGTTTGTTATGCTCTTGAGGGCAGAGACTGTCTCCTTAGGGCCTACCACAGTTCCTGGCAAAGTAGTAGGTACTCAGAAATACTTGGTTAATAAGGATCCTACACTACTCTGTGAGCACAGTATAAGCTCAGAGAACTAGGAGGGACCTTAGAAATAATTTATACATCTTCCTTTTCAAGATCAGAACAGCGAGAGCCAGAGAAGCAAAATAAATTGCCCAGGGTCACAACATCAGACTACATTGTAGGATGATTTTTCTTTTTTTTTTTTTTTTAGAATTTTTATCCTCTCAGCTCATAAATCTTTGGAAAGCTCTAACGGGGGCTTGAAATGACCCTTTCACACCTAAAGAACTTCTTCGAAGTAAATATGCCTTTTATAAGGTGCAGAACATTAACCTGAAATACATGTAAAATGGAATTTGGAGGGTCTCACTGAGTGAATTTATTTTGGGGAGGGAGCCTATAGTCCTCAAATTCAACTCATAAATTTAACACCTCTTATTTTCCTCTGGGGCCTTTAAGGTCTTCTTAAAGTCACAGTTAAGAGGTCCAGCTTCTTAGTCTTCCTGTAAAACCAAACTATAAAATTAAAATTTCAGTATTTTAATTAAGTCTGTGTAAGTCTACCAAATTAATTTGCAGCAGCAAAATAAGAAGAAATTATAAAGTACAGGGACCAATTTATCCTATTACTCATGATTCATTCAACAAGCTTTTACTTGCATGCCTAGGTGACAAGTATTAAAATCCTTGATTGTCTGACTGTATCGTATGAGAAATGGGACTTTCTTGTACCCCTCAACAAGCCTTCTACAGATCTAGAAATATGTTCTCTCCCGCAGATGAAAAATGAGCTTTGCTGCCAGAGAGATTCGGGAGGAGAAGTGGGATGCCAAGAGCCAGTGGGCTGAAGGGAGATCAGAAGAACCCAGGATCCCCAGTGTCAGACCAGCTCCACAGAGCAGTGTCCCAAGTGGGGCTGTGCGCGCCTCAGAAGCAGTCTGAGTTGTTAATTTACTAGCACCTCTCAGTTCAGGGCGAGGTTTCCCTTGGGCCTTGATTTCCTCTTCTGTGTCTCTTTGCCCAGGATCAGGCTACTGGAGAATAGAACCTCCTGATTAATGTGTCAAGAGCCATAGACTCTCCTTAATGGACGGCCTCTCTGCTTGCTCGGGGCACTGACTCAGCCTGCGGAGCTGGGCACGAGCTGCCACAGTGCGTTAAGTCACTAATGAAGGCCGGTGCTCAGGAGTGATTTAGAGTGCCCCAAGAACAGAGAGCCTTCGGATTCACTAGCTTCTCCTCAGACTGCCTGCAACGTCTCCCCTGCTCTCTGGCCTGGCGCGTCCCAGTCCACCAAGCATCTGTGGCAGAAAAGGGAAAAAGCAGATTCCTCCAAATACAAAACGGAGCTTGAACCTCCAGATTTTGTTTTGTTTTGTGACAACGCTTCACTGCCTATTCACGGGCACGAATCTGTCGCTTCAAATGGTTTTCCAAAGCAATTTTATAAAGTGGATCTTTAAAACACGTCGGGATGCATCATTAAAACGTTTCAGGATGCCGATACTCCTGGAAGGGAGCAGATGCTGAAGCAAATGGAAGGCATCTTATCTGCCTCTAAGTGAGTGGATGAATTTAAGCAGCAAGGCCTCAGAAACCACGTCCCTATCAAGTCCCTATCAGGAAGCTCTCCACCCTCTCGGTGACAAATCCTTCTTTAAAAGAGGCCATCGGGATCTTTTACATCATCTCCAAACCCACAACCTGGGTGGTGCTGATATATCTCAGGAATCTCAAGGCTTCTTCATCCAGGGACTGAGCAGGGCCTGCCCAAGGCTGGAGATCTATATGCCGCCGGGGACCCTGTGAGAGACAGAAAACATAGGTCGGTGTGTAGGAGGAGGAGCTTGGGGTCGGGGGCGGGAAGGACGTAGAGTTATCAGACAGGGGGTGAGACTGCTTTAGCCACATGCAAAACAGACACATCTGCACACCAGCAGGGAGCTGGTTTGGAGCTGCTGTCATTAAGGCCACATCAGTCCCAGGGAGACAAATGAGGCCTGAGAAAGCCCAGATACCAGGTTAAGCAGGAGACTGCAAAGGCTTGGGGATGTCTGAGGGGAGCTTCTGATCAAAGGCAAACTCTGCTTGACCCCATCAGGCTCTCAACCCAGGCTTTGTATTACACGGTGCCGCTTCCCCATTCGGAAGAAACACTCCCCTGTCTACTACTACGCTTTCCAGAGCTTAGAGCTTCAGAAATATGTGCCTCCCTAAGGACCGGTTTTGTTGTCGCAGTACCGTAATGCCTGAAATCCTCTGGGCGCTTGGGCACCTTCCCCAACACAGGGAAATGGGCGGCGGGACAACCTGGCAGCACCACCCGGAGTTCCAGATCTCCTGGCTTCTGGGACTGCACCCGTGCAGCCAAGGACCCTGGAGCTTTCACCACCAGGGCTGGCAAGAGTGGCCTCGTAGCACTGTGAGGCAGCCCCCATCTTTCAGCTGAGCACATGAGGCGCTCCCATGAGCAGAGTGGTTAGAGATGAGCCCTAAGCCTCTTTTTGTAGCAAGGGTCGTGGAATGGATGAAGGGTTGGGGGAAGGCAGTGGTCTGGAAGAAACCGAAATGGGGACACCTCCAGTCAAAAGGAAGCCCTAGTCATGAAGTCCTTGCTAGAGCTCAAAGTTACAACCTGGAAACCTCCTGGAGGCACACTGTGATTCCAAGGGGAGAGTAGGGCTCAGGGTGTAGGCTGGGGAAGGGCTTGGGGCCAGGAGAAGCCCCAGCAGCTGGCAGGGTGAATGTCTAGTATCAGGAAAGACTTTGCGTGTCTTGGAACATGGGGTTCCTGCAGAGTGTTTGGGATGAGTCCCTAACCCCCTTTTATGGCGAGGAAGGGGGCAGGGGAGGGTTCTGGGGACAAGATAAAGGGACTGTTCATGTATACACATTGTTCTTCAGTTAGGCATTGCTATCGTCTGAATGTTTGTGTTCCCCCAAATTCATATGTTGAAATCCTAATGCCCAAGGTGTCTATATAGGAGGTGGGGCCTCTGGGAGGTGCTTAGGTCATGAGGGTGGAGCCCTCATGAATGGGATTAGTGCTTTTATAAAAGCGACCCCACAGAGCTCCCTTGCCCCTTCTGCCAGATTGTGAGGACACGGCCAGAAGAAGGTAGTCGGCAACCAAGAAGATGGCCTTCACCAGCACCCAACCATGCTGGCACCCTGATCTGGGGCCTCCAGCCTCCAGAACAGTGAGCAACAAATTTCTGTTGTTTATAAGACATGCAGTCTGTGGTATTTTGTTATGGCAGCCCAAATGGACTAAGACAGGTATTATGGCACGAACTGTCAACCAAAAAAGAACCATGTAAACAGGCTAGACCTGAGACAAATGTGGTTTGTTGCTCCTGGATGGGGTGGTCTAGGTGACTCAGGGTTGAACCGAAGGCAAGGAGGAGTGGGGAGAAGCAGGTTAGTCAGTGTGAAGCCAGGTGTGTGGGCTTGGGGAGGAGGAGTACGCTCTGGCGTGGGGGTCTGAGGTAAATGCAAACTCTCTGTGATAGAGGGTTATTCCAGGTTAGGCATTATCAGACTCATCACTGTCCCGACAACCCAGTCTTAGCGTCCAGACAGGTCTGTCCTGCCTTGTAGCAGCTGAGCGCCCTGCAGTCCTCTAGACTTAAAGAACCCTCATGGATTTCCCACAGGCTGCCTTTTTCTCAGGAATCCTTAAGCCAGGGCCAGTTTCACGGGCATGCAACCTGCTCAGTCTTAGAAGGGCCCGTGCTTGCCCTAATGCTCTGTTGACACTATCTTGAAAATCTTAATAATTTTTGAACAATGGCCCTGCATTTTCACTTTGTACTGTACCCCATAAATTATGTAGTCAGTCTGCCCTAAGGGGCACCTTTTCTGGGAAAACCACCTTTTCAGATAGCTGTTCTTGTTCTGTGAAGGTTGAAAAGACAAGAGACTCTAGTCAGATAGAGCCTGAGACCATTAACTCATTTATCTTCCCAGTTAACGCCTTCCACCCCCTATTTCTTTTTTCCTTCTCTAAATTAGATGTTGATTACCATTTGGTCAAACCATATTTATGGAGCATCAGCCACTCTGTGCCAGGCACTGGTCAGCACAGACATGAATTAAACCTGGACTCTCCCCAGAGGCGCTCACAGCCTGGTGGAGGAGACGGACACTACAGAATAACTTTGATAGAAGAATGCTGAAACGTTAGGGAGAGCCATTCTTTGTGGGAAACTATTTAATTATGAAGTCATAAATTATAAGCACATTTAAAGACAAACGCCTCCTAGTTTTTCCTGGTCACATTCTTTTTGCGTCAAATGACAAAGAGTGCCTTCCCAGGTTGCTGCTGCTGCCAGCACAGCAACACAATGCTTCACGCAAGCTTGTCTAGGCCTGGGGTTTAAAGCTCCCCATGTCACTGTCGGGGGACCACTCACAAGTGCCCCAGTATCTGGTCCAGGAGCCTCTTGAAGAAAATAATAAAGTTCACCCGTTACGGTTTTCTTCTAAATCAGGGATCAGCAAACTTTTCCTGTAATGGGTCAAAACACCAATAATTTAGGCTTTGCAGGCTGTGCAGTTTCTGTTGTAACTCCTCGCCTCCTGCTGTAGCTCAAAAGCAGCCACAGACAGTAAGTAAACAAATGGTCATGGCTGTGTTCCAATAAAACTCCATTTACAAAAACAGGCAGTGGGCTGGATCTGGCCCGCCAGGCTGTAGTGTGCTGACCCCTGCTCTATTTGATTCTAATTTGGAGTAGACCGGCCTAAAAGAGAGTGTTTACTTGAAGTAATGCAAGAGAGACAGATTATGATATCTAGATTATAACCGACTTTGTTATCTGGGTGACTTGGGCAAATATCAGCCAGGGTCCCAGCAGGATACAGTGGGCTCCTTCCAACTGGCTAAGTTGGAAAGCATTTAATAGAGAGGTTATTTACAAAGGTGTGGGCAGGGTTTAAGGAAACCTGTAAGGAATAATGCAATACCTGTGACTAGTAACACCAGAGAGCCCTCTCAAACCCCAAGCCTGAAGGAGCAAGGAAGAGGAGGAATTTGTGAAACCCAAGACAGTAAGTGTATGGAGAAGGCCTTTAATAGAGGAACACAGCCAATCCTATCACATCCAGTCCTATTACATACCCACCCTAACTGTTAACCCAAGGGGAAGGGAGAAAAGAGGGAGGCTATGGTTGGTCCATGCAGGTCAGCCTCCTGGGGTGCAGAGTAGAGGGAGCAGGGTTGAGAGTGGATATCGAGGGGCAAATGGAAGGTCTCCTGCACCGCATCCTTTGGAAAGAGGCAGTGAGACTTGACCACTGGTCAAGGGAGTCCTTCATTCATTCAGCGGGCAATGTGCCTCGTGCCAGGCTCTGTAAACCGATAAACACAATGAAGTGCTATAAGGGCTCTAATAGAAATCTCTGTAGGGTACAATGGGATCACAAAGATATGGAGGACTCAAGTATTACTCCAAAATAAATGCCAGAAAATACAAATGCAGATTGTGGGAAGCAGTCTCCACTGCGAGAAGCCCACAAGCTTCGTTAAAGAGACACCTTGAACACAATCAAAGCACTTAACCTGGGCTAACATGCAAAAGTAACCTCAAAGATCAATAATGGTGAATCCATATGGTGAAACTACAGAATTATCTTAAAGATCCATTAAAAATATCCTTCTTGCAATCTAATAATTCTCATTTCCAACTGAGTACTGACCACGAGGAAGCTAAACACGGCAGCTGGAATAGAGCACAATATAAGTTGAGGGGTCTCAGATGGGGACATGATAGAAACACACAGCAAAGAGATGCTCTCAGAAGTGCTCTGGCTTAATGCTTTGATTGAGCTGTTTAAAAAACATTTCACATAAAGCAATGTTCTTATTGGAATCAGTCTGACAGCAGTTCGTGATTATTTCGCCAAGGAAACCACTAGCTTTTATCATCTCTTTCAATTATCATTTGTCTTAATTCTCTAGTGCACACATCAATACTTGTCCTTCCAAAAATCCCACAAACAGAATTATCTGAACACCTCAAAACACTAACAGCTGGTATTTAATAGAACAAGGCAAAAAAACATCTTTTACTTAAAAAAAAATTATCATTATGATTTTACCCCAAACAATTCCCTAAATGCCAGAGTACACTATTATCCATGTGCTGCAAATATCAAGTGGCCAGAATGATGCTACCCCCATGACTCCCAGGGGAAGGTGGGAATGTGGATTTCCAGTGCTGTCTGCTGCCCCCACTTCCTCTTCAGATGGGACAGAGTAGCTTAAGCAGAAGGCGGTGGAGGTACTGTCATTTGGGGCTGGTCTGCCTGTCCCCAGCAGGCATGAGCTGAAATGTCAAATGCAGCATATACAATGAGTTACCACAGAGAAGCAGCCATGCTCCTGAGCCCCTGCAGGGACAGGGGCCCTTCTACTCCTTTGCAACCTGTCATCCTGCCCCCTGAACCACCAGGCCACTCATACAAAGGAGCCCCTCCCCCAGCACCGATGAGCATCTCAGGGAAGGCAGAGTCCCAAATTTCTCAGGAAAGGAAGCAGCCCCCCTTTTGTTTGTGAAGGCTTTATCTGGCACTTTTTCTAGGAAATGTGTATTGAAAAGTGAGCTGGCTTCTTCTAACGAGGGGCAAATGTTTCGATCACATAGAAAAAATTTTCCAAAAATTAAGATTAATGATGGCAAAATATTCTACACACAACTAACTCATGTTGTTCGGGGGCTATTTTGCAGACATCTGACATTCTGCTTCCCAAAGGGTAAAAAAGTGATCCTGGATTCAGTCTAAGCTGGTGCACAGAGATA